GTGTAATGACTTTTTCAAGCGCATCGTCATTCAAATCGTCAAGATATCCCTGTGCCAAAGAGTCAATTATATCAATAGAAAAGCATGAATGGTCCTCACTAGGGTATTTAATGGAATCAGAAAGATTAAAATTAACAACTTCCCCATCGAATTCCATGGACAAAGTTCCACTATACACGTCAATCTTCGTCCGGGCCGTCTTCATGAATGGCCTTCCAAGTAGAATGGGCAGCGAAGGAGCATGGTCCGATTCATCCATTTCAAGGACATAGAAATCCGCCGGGAAGACCAAATGATTAACCTGTACAAGAACATCTTCCAAAACTCCCTTTGGATAGGCGTTAGATCTATCGGCCAATTGTATTATTACCCCATCATTTTTCAATGCTCCTAAGTTCATAGATGCATAAATGGAATATGGCATAACATTTATAGAAGCACCTAAATCAAGCATGGCAGATTCAAATCTAGTATTCCCAATGACACAAGGAATGGTAAAACTACCTGGATCCTTGCATTTGGGCGATAGTTTGCGTTGCAAGATGGCGGACACATTCTCACCTACCTTTACCACTTCCTTGGTCGACATCCTCTTCCTAGTGTTGCAAAGCTCCTTTAAGAACTTGGCATACCTCGGGACTTGCTTTATTGCATCCAACAGGGGTATGTTCACTTGAACTTTACGAAACGTCTCAAGGATGTCCTTTTCAGCTTCTTCTTTCTTCGTTTGCCTGAACCTACTAGGAAAAGGAACATTCAAAGGGAAAACATTAGTAGGAACTGAATTTAACACATTTTTACCTTTATTGGCCGAATTGGGCAGATTTGGGACCATAGGGACTTGTGGCGATGATGGGATCACCTTTGCCGTGGGCAACCTTGTTTCTTCCTCTTCGATTCTTCGTTTTTCATCCTCTTCGGGGCTTGATGGTGATGGTGTAGGACATGCCCCGACTTCTTTTCCACTTCTCAATTGTATGGCCTTTGCGCTTTCGAAGCCTCCCTTCGGATTTGGAATGGTGGAACTAGGGAGTTGTCCGGGATCTCGAAACTTAGCTACAAACTCGGCAATCTGCCCAATTTGTTTCTCAAGTTGATCCACCCTCTTATCTTGGTTTTGCATAGCCTTCGCTTGATCTTCCTGCCCATTAGACAACTTAGTTAGTATCTTAAGAAGTGCATCATTGTCAAGAGATGTACCTGAGGCACTTGGGCCGGATTGGGCTTGATTTTGGGGTGGGCCGTAGGGTTTGGGAAAGAACCCCGAGGGTTGTTGCCTAAAGCCTCCTTGGTTCTGAGGTTGCTGGGAATCCCTCCACTTGAAATTTGGGTGGTCTCGCCACCCCGGATTATACGTGTTGGAGTACGGATCATGTCTTGACTGATTTTGGCTTTGAAAACCAATGGCATTCGCACTCTCCCATCCGCCATTCTCGATGAGTTGAGGACACTTTTCAGAGGCATGTCCTTGGATAGAACATACACCACATACCATAGGTCCTTGCATCTTCATTCCCTCGGCCATCTGTGAAACAATAGAAGTAAGATTAGCCAATTGTGAATGAAGATCGGACGTTGAACTTACCTCATGTACTTGGTGCCGTGGAGGTCCTCTTTGGCCTACTCCCTCATACTGTTGAGCATTCAATGCTCGGTTAGCGATCAAGACCTTGGCATCCCTGGGCGTTTTGTCCACCAATGCTCCACCCGCCGATGCGTCGAGCATTTGACGTTCGATAGGTAGGAGCCCCTCGTAGAAGTATTGCAAGAGCAACTCCTCCTTCATCTGATGCTGTGGACAAGAAGCAACAAGTGATTTAAATCGTTCATAATACGTAGGAAAAGACTCACCTTCTTCTTGCTGGATTCCACTTATCTTTTTGCGTAGGAGGATGATGCGAGAAGTTGGGAAAAACTTCTCCAGAAAGGCCCTCTTCATGCTCTCCCACGATGTAACGGTTCCGGGAGCTAACTCATATAGCCAATCTTTGGCTTTATCCATCAAAGAGAATGGAAAAGCCTTCATCTTCAAGATATTTCCGTCAACAGTGACGGGAGTCATACTAGAGCAAACTACTTCAAATTCTTTCAAATGTTTGTTAGGATCTTCCATGGACAAGCCATGGTATTTAGGAATATGATGAAGCAAACTTGACTTTAATTCGAACTCATCCGTCTTACCTTGGGCAGCCGTGGGGTATTGAATGCACAAGGGTGCGGCATTATCCAAACCTGAGGCGGAAAGCTCCTTGAGTGTACGGTTGTCCACCGCCATGCCTTGGACTTCTTCAAAGATCCCTGCCGTGGGTTCTTCTTCCTCTTCTAGGCCTTGTTCGTCAAGCTCAGGTTTCGGGCTTGGCAGATTTGATTCGTGATGCTTCTTCCTTCGTCTCAAAGCCCTCTCAAAGTCACTGTCAAAGTCTGAGATACGCTCACAAATCGGTTGAGAACTCCGAGTCATTCACTAGTACCTAAAACAAGGAAAACGAAACAAAATCAGAAACTTTAACAAAATAAATAAATAAACAAAAATTAAACAATCCAAGGGATTAGCAAAGTTGCTAATCCCCGGCAACGGCGCCAAAAATTTGATGCGAACTAAGTAAGCACACAAATTAAAACCCTCTTGTGACAATTGTAGTAAAGATGCAAGTAGGGATCGTTCTAGACCGGGGATTAGGAGGGATTACTAAATCACTTGGACACTAACTCAAAAACGTAAAACAAACGTTAAAAACACTAAACTAGACTCAAAGAATGCAAAATACTTATAAACACAAATTAAGACACTTTCTAACTAAATTAGACACTAAGGTAAAGGGGGATTGAGGTTTTGACGAAAATAAATTAAAAGCACAAATTGTAATTTAAAGGCAGAATTTAAATATGAATGTGATGAAATATGGAATGAATGCTAGCTAGAAGGTTCTTCTCCACACATGTCACACTTGCATACACTTTGATTTTCAGTTGGTCTTTCAATAAATTATGAAACTCAACGCCCCAAATTAACCGTGAATTGCACTAATTAACCCTCAGTTTTTCCACAAGTTATTAAGTTGGATGATTGCATACGACAACCTAAAACATTCCTTACAAGTTCCCTACATGAATTGCATAATAGAGATACAAGCAAGAATCATTAAGTTCTATGAAAAACATAAGCATTGACGAAGCATTCGTTACTATGAATTGCATGAAACTTATGCTAAGAATTCATTCAACGCGATCATTTTCAAGCGACCTTCACTACTTGTGATTATAAGATTGTAACTATTAGGTGAAACTCCCTCATAATCTAGCATCATATTCATGCATGAAAACTAAGCGTGCACTCTCAATCAACATACACAAATAAGTTATCAATCAAATAGATGAACGAATTGAATCCACAACTTATGAAATTCCAACCGAAAGTAATCAATTCATATTGCAAGCATAAACATGGTTTCGAATCACCCCCTAGCTAACTAGGGGGATTTAGCCTCTCATGTTCACAACAAGAAAAATAAAATTGAATTTAAACATAAAGAACAAAGGATTGATTACACCTAGAACGCACGATGAATCCACTTGAATTTCTGCGCGTCTAAGCCCTCCTTCTTCTTCTCCTTGCTGCGGCAGTGAAAGTCTAGGTTTATTTGGGTGATTTTTCTGACTTTGGGATGGATTTAGGGTGTTAAAGTGGGCGGCAATGGTGGTGGAATGGTGTGGGAAAATTGCGGCTGTGAAGGGGAGTGGTGGAGATGGCACGGCTGGACAAAATGTGGGATGGTATTTGCGGCTGGAATGGAAGAAAGATGGCACGGGACTGAAAATGTGTAATATGGTGGCTGCCCAGATTTTCTGTTTTGTTTATTAGGTTAAATTGTAGTGCACGGGTTAGGGTGGAAAAATAATGGGCAAAATGCGGCTAAGAAGAAAGTATATAAATATGGTGGCTACGGCTTTTGTTTAAGGGAATGGATGCACGGTTTTTTGGGGGGGGGGGAAATTGAGGGAATGGCTTGCGGCTTAGGGGGGAAATATATGGAATGGAAAAAGTTAATGGCTGAATAAAAAATAAATGGCATGAATGGGTGCATGACGGCTAAAAAGGAAAAAGAATGGATGGTGGCTGATTAAAAATGGGATGAATGGGATATTAGGATAAATATGCCACGGCTAGGTTTATGGAATGATATGCGGCTACAAGGAAAATTATGGGATCATGGCGGCTAGGGAAAAGAATAATGGGAATGAATGGATTGAATGGCTTACGAAAATAGGAAATTAAAACATAAATATAAAGGTGCGGCTAGGAAGGGAAATAGGGCTAGGGCCTTGGTTTTGTGTCCTAAAGTGCCTATAAGGCCGTCAAAGTGGCTAGAAAATACGGACGTTTAAGTTTAGGAAAGGTTACCAAAACGGGAAACTTAGGGTTAACTTTCCTAAAATAGGAAACCTTGTTTGAGTAGGATTCCTCGTTTTGGTAAGAATTCATCGTTGGATTAGGATTTCGTCATTTCTTCAAGTCTTCAACTCATTCATTCCTCTTTCGCTCCAAAAGGCTCCAATTTGCATCTTCTTGCATACTTTGGCCTTGTAATCTGAAAATACACAAAAGTGGCCTTAAACACTAAAACAACTAAGTAAACACAACATAAATGCACGAGAACAAGCTAATTAAGTCGCATGAATATGCTCCTATCAAATTGTTGCAATGTCATACCTTCCGTTAGTTTGTTTGTCAATTCTTCTGTTAAATGTTGACGTGGCTCGAGGTGGAACCCATTCCCTATTAAAAAAAAATTAAATATTAAAAACTAAAAAAAATAAAATTATTTAATAATTTTTTTTTAAATGAGAGACCCACCCCTACAACCCATCTCCCCTTCTTCGGTTCTTCCTCATCCATCCGTGTCCCAACGTTCCTTCACCACCAAAACCAGAACCCTATCGCTTCCTTCTCTTCCTTCATCTCCACCTCCCTCCCAAGGCTTTCCTCCCCCTCCCCCTCATCATCCTCCTCCTCCACCACATTCCACTCTAATCCCTACTGCCACACCTTCACTGTCCCTAAGGATAGTGAGCCCCAAAGTGGTCACCTTCTCTTTATCCTCCTCTTCTTCCTCCTTGGGCTCATCTACACGAGCACCACCACTTTTGCCGCCGCCACTTCCACAAGCCTTACCAATCAGCCCTTCAAAGTAATTCCCATATATATACTTAGGGGTGCACCCGTTCTCTTCATCAAAGAGCATGATATGCCCATGCCACTCCCAAACCCGATACTCCGAACGCAATTCCTCATGAAACCCAACGCAAATGTGGTGCTCCCGGATCATGACGGTCTGACCTGAATTAGGCTTGAGGGAATCGGTCTTGTCGCTAAGAACAACCCGGATAATCTCCTTCTTGAGGCGGGATTCTTCCTTGGCGAGCTGGGTCTTGTTCTCATCGTCGTCGTCATCGGAGAGATTGGTGGCGTAGAAGAAGTGCTCCTCGAGGGTTGGGGGAGGAAGGAGTTGTTGGTAGGGGATCAGATTTGGAGCTTGCCTATTAGGGTTTGGAGCATGAGGTTGTCAAAATTGGTGGTGTTGGTGAAGAAGCTCATGGTGTATGGATTTGGGGTCTTCGGTGAGCTTGAAGTTGAGATCGAAGCCGCGGAAGATGTGGGAGTGGAAGAAGATTAAGTGAAAGAACTAAAAAGAGGGGTCATCGAGGAGCACCAGGAGGTAGTGGTGGGTTGGGGATTTCGAGTGGATGGGGAAGAACCGAAGCAGGGGTGATGGGTTGTAGGGGTGGGTCTCCTATTTAAAAAAATTATTAAATAATTTTATTTTTTAGTTTTTAATATTTAATTAATTTTTTAATAAGGAGTGAGCTCGGTCTCAAGCCATGTCAGTATTTAACAGCGGAATTGACAAACAAACTGACGGAGGTATGACATTGCAACAAATTTGTAAGATAAGGTATGATATTGAAATGTTTTAAAGATGGGGTATGAAACTATGGTTGACCTAATAGTTGAGGTAATTTTGTGTAATTTACCCTAAAAACAAAAGCAAGTATAATCATATTTGCATATTTCTTTCTTGGCAGTAGGTAGATGAATTTGGTAGTAACTCAGCATCTACACATATGGTGGACTGTACTGGTGAATTGACCATAAATAAGGTAATATTTGGCTTGACTATGCAATTGATTTACTTATACTCTTGTATGTTTATTCATAATGTGCAATTTTGGTACATAGTTATTCAAGAGTAGAGAAGAATTAATAAAATGGGCTCGAGAAGTTGAGAAGGTCAATAGTTTTGTTATTGTGACGTTACGATCAGATCAAGGTGGAAAAGATAACAGGAGCCCTAGACTTAAATTGGGTTGTGAAAGGAATGGACACTATGTAAGTTGAATTCACGAAAAAGACATAAGAATGAGGATAAAAGGAATTCTGGAACTTAAAAATGTGGATGCCTGTTTCAATTAAAGGATGAAAAGCTAGTAACTGATGATGATTGGATATTGACGATAGTTATTGGAGTGCATAATCACACAGCAGCAGACCATTTGGAGGGTAATTCATTTGCTGGTAGATTATCTTTGGAGGAGACTTCGTTATTGGCTGATCCAGCTAAAAGTTTGGTGCAACCAAAGGATTTTGACTAAACTAAAACAAAGAGACAAACGAAATGTATATACATCAAGGACAAATTATAATGTACGTCAACACTTGAGGTTTTTGGAGAAAGGTGGGAGGTCCCAAATGCAACAATTGATGAGTAAGTTATCTGAGCATAGGTACACTGAGTGGCATAGGAGTTGCCCAAAGCCTAATACTATTTTGGACTTGTTTTGGACACATCCGATTTTTATAGAATTGTTACATGCATTTCCACATATGTTGATTATGTATTGTACGTGCAAGACGAATAGGTATCGTATGCCATTGTTAGAAATTGTAGGAGTTACGTCAACTAATATGACATTTTCTGTTGGTTTTGTTTATCTTTCTGCGGAACGAGAAGATCATTACGTTTGGGGCTTGAGTATATTGCAAGGACTCATGGATGATATTGTTATGCCTGATGTTATTGTGATAGATAGAGAAATGGCTTTGATGAGGGTCATTGAGCTTATACTTGGTACAAGTAAGCATTTATTATGTAGATGACACATTAATTAGAATGTGCTAGCTAAGTTAAAAAAATTATATAAGTCCAAGGAAGATTGCGATAGATTTTTGGAGAGATAGAGTACAATGATTGCATCTTCTACTGAAGCTGATTTCACAAGACAGACAAGACAACTATGCAACATAGGGGTCGGTTCAGTTCCACTCGGTTCGGTTTTTTGCCAAAACCGGAAACTGAACTAAAGTTACTGTTTGGTTTACTTTTCCATCGGTTTTTTTTTGTTCGGTTTTTCTCGATTCGATTTTCATTCGGTTCGATTTATTTTTATTTTAAAGTAAGAAAATTTCAAAGTACCAAATTAGAGTGTTGAGAATAAACTGATCAGAAGATAGACTCAAATTTGGAGGTTAAAAAAAGGCCATTCATTCTGTTTGCATCTATTTGATCTCCTTTGCATCTGCTGCATGACATGAGCAAACATTGAGGGAACCATTCATGTGATTCATCATGCATATATCTAAATTATCATTTCTTTCATCTCAACTAATTCTCTCAAATATTTTTCAACCAAGTTTCTGCAACAGGTTGAGTACTTATCACTTTAACTATATATATATATATATATATATATATATATATATATAGTAATACCTATTTATAATTCATATTCTATTGATTTCACTACTAATTTACTTGACTTTACACACACACACACACACACACACACACACACACACACACATATATACACTCAAAGGGAAATAAACATATACTAGGGAAAGGTTCTAAATTAATATGGACGAATTTCTGAACTGGCAGGTGCAAGGTCACTGTTCAATCAATCAATGATCACCTTGTTTATTCAATTCAAACACAATTAATCACAAACTAACTTCGGTTCGGTTTCTGAACTCCAAAAATCAAAACCGAACAAAACCATTTCGGTTCGGTTCGATTTGATTTTGTACTTTTGGTTTGGTTTTTTTTTCGGTAGCGGTTTGGTTTTCAATTACTTTTTTTTTATTTTTTTATTTTATCTTTCTTCAGTTTTTGGTTTTTTCAACCCACTCCTAATGCGATGAGTTTAGTATGCATCAAGAGATGCTTCAATATCTGATAGATACATTGTTGAATCCATATAAATAAAGGTTTGTTGCAGCATGGATCGATAAATTTATGCACTTTGGGAATACAATCTCAAATAGGTAAGCATTTATCACTTGTTACTTTATTTTCATTTTCTAGTGAGATTGCTAAACCTTTGATACTTTAACAGGGTGAGTCTTCACATGCCAAATTAAAAAGACATCTTGGAAGTAGTCAAGGAACATTTGAGACATCATGGGAAAGTTACAACTTTGCTTGGGTTGCAGCAAATTGAAACAAGGCTTCTTTTGAGAAAAGTTTGATAGTGGTGCATCATGATTTTAGACATTTAGATTTCATGGAACTTTGTGGCTTTGTCTCAATTAATGCACTATATATGGTCCTAAGGAGTACGAGTTGTCCAAAATGAACAATATTGACTTCGAGGCAAGTGGCTATATTTTATGAGACACTCATGGATTACCATGTGCTCATGAGATTGTTAGATACATGAGAGATGGTCGACCTATTCCACTTTAGATCATTGATCCTCATTGGAGGAAACTTGACATAAGGTGTACGCCTTTAGGAAATGCAGTAGAATACGTTTATGATGCAGACATGGAGTTGTTTCATAGGTGTTGGATAGAATCTGATACAACTGCAAGAATGGTCCTAAAAAGGAAACTTATGGGATTAGTATTACCACAAACTACTTCACTTGTGATTTAGTATTACCACAAACTACTTCACTTGTTGAACCATCAGTGACAAGGCGAGACGTAGGCCAAGTAAAAAGATGGATAAATCTACTCGTCATGATTCGTCATTGTTTGAGATTGTGGAATTGGAACAAGGAAGTTATTCACTTGGGATGGATAGTTGTACCCTTGGTGGTCTTTATCCTGAAATGAGTTCAAAACAAAAGAGGCGACCAAAGGAGAAGGTGCATTGCGCTCGTTTAGTTAAGCCAATTGAGTTAACTAATGCATTTCCAGTAGCATTGAGGCCATACACTCTTCTTGTTAAAATGTGGCATCTGATGGACATTGCGATTTCAGAGCAATTGCATCATTGTTGGGTTATAATGAGGATGGATGGATACAAGTGCGAAAAGATTTATTACAAGAGTTAGAGACTTACTCAAGTTGCTACTCCAAGCTATATGGGTTTGAAAATAGGGTCCATGAGTTGAAGCATGCAATAAGATATTTTGAAACTCATGCAAACATTGATCGGTGGATGACTATGCCTGACATGGGCCATATTATGGCATCATGTTATGGTGTGGTACTTTCCACCTATTGAATGTAAAATGTCTTACATTTTTACCTCTTAGAACAACACCTATACCCCTAGCATCATGTAAGGAGATTGTTATCGGATTCACCAATTATCATTTTGTGCAGGTATGGACATAAGGATTTATTGTTGGAAATTTTTGTAGGTGATCTTATGAGGATTGAATGCATTTACTTTAAGTTTAAGTTGTAAAGTTCTTGAAATCAGGTCATCCAATTCCATATATAGCAACAAATTGGGAAAGATACTCTGAACCATGGTGTTTAGTATGGGCTATTCCGTACATTGCTTGTATACAATAGTTCAAATCCATTCTAGAGTCTACCGTCGTAACTAGAGAGATCGTGGAGCTTGACAAAAATTGAAGTTGGTGTAGTGCTTGTTTGAAACTTTTAATTTTCTCTTTTTTGATTGGTCTACTATAAGACTTTTGTTTTGCAATTTAAGCTTCAAGATGTTTTCTTTAATTCATATTACGTATATGGAAAAAATTATGTGATGTAAATTTTTTTTCTTAATATGTCGGAGAACTCCTTAGTAACCCAAGCTTTCTAGGTTTAAAAATTCTTCAATAAAACCCAAAACTTCCGTTAATGGAATTTCAGAAAGCATTTCCATCATCATCTAGCATAATCCCACTTGTATGCGTTCCTTGCAAAAGCTTCCCAGTTGAAGATGTTTCCATCATCATCTAGCATAACCCTAGGGGTTTGGGCTTGAGAAATGGTTTACTTGAGTTAGCTCCTCCATTTTCAATCCCGACCAAATGTGTACATTAGGCTAAAGATTGGAAGACCCAGTTGTTTGTTTGTTTGTTTTTTTTTTCTTTTTTTTTTTGCTGGCTTTTAGAAGAGAGTAATATTATTTGTTTATGTTCTTTTTTAAGAGACAAGTTTATAATTATAATTATATATATATATATATATATATCAAGAGTTATTTTAGGAATAATAGTGGGTGGGGAAATAACATTTTAATTTTTTTAACTTTTTATAGTTGGTGTAAATATAACGTGTGTGGGAAAATAAGATAACGGGATGGATTTAGCAGCTTTCTATTGAAACACTATTAAAAATACTTAAGAGGTAGATTAGGTATTAAAAACAGTATAAGATGAGTCATCATGTTAAAATCTGACGTGGAAGCTTAATCACCGGACTAAACTCATTAATCAAACAGAATTGGACTAAACCCATTAATCCATTAATCAAATTGGATTCATATCAAATTGTTGGTCAACATAACTTAGAGGTACCTTACAAAACTATAGTAGTATACATGACAAGAAAGTAAACCTAAGCACAAACATAGTAGTATCCAATAGAGGCCTATCAAATTTTCTCTTAAACTAACTTAGAGGTGTCCTACATGGAAGACTTCTTAGGTTTAGGTAGAATTTAGTATACGGTTAACTTGTAGTTCTTAGATTATAGCTGTCTAGACAATAATTTTTATATATTTTCCAGTTAATTAACTAATATTCATAATTTCATTGTCTGTTGTGCATACTCTGATTTTCGTCTGCATCTACATGTAAAGCAGAAACCCATGGTGTGTGCATTGTCTCTCACAATTTGGGTTGCCAATGAAGAGTGTGAATTCATATAGTTCAAGAAGTCTCTTGACATGATTCTGCATCTCCTTATCGAAGATAGTCATTTTATGTAATATTAGGTGCGGGATCCTTTTTCCTTGTTCGTCCACATTGAAATTACAATCTATCCCCTTTTGTTGTTGTTTGGGCCCAAAATATTATGATTGGGCCGAGCAGCAAGATGTGCTCGGCCCAAGGTAATGACAAATACTATGGGCCGAATAATAAAACCTGGGCCAGCTGGCAAGGTCGGCCGAATCCTATCCTAAGAGGTCCAGATGAGTAGAAGGATCGAGGAAGTCCTGGTGCGACCAGGATTCTCGACCAGCAAGAAATAAAGCCTCAAAAGGAGGAGAATTCAGAGTCCCAGAGGGGGTAGGATTGTTCGAGCTAGAGGTAAAATGGGACAAGGACTCCCAATCCAAATCCGAATGGGTTTCAGGGAACGAGGTGCTATAAATACAAGAAATTACGCAATAGAAAGGACCTTCAATTCAGCATACAATTGCCCTGCGCAAAACCTCTCAAACACCTTGAGATTTTTTTCCTTT